GCAAGATTTCTAAACTCTTATTTAATTTAAAAACTATATTAATAAATGTAATTTATTAGAAAAAAGGAAAACTGTTTCACCTTCGGCTCCAGGTGCCATGGGCATGAATACATACTCTTGAGGATATGGCTCATTTTTATCGGGTAACCTACCCAATTTATTTGGTTGGTACTGAGGATAATGTGGAGGATGTGGAGGTAAACCAACCTGCAAATGCAAAGAAGTTTTCAAAATTCAAGATCTTACAAATTTATGAATATGAATAAACATAAAATGAAGCAAAATATTGTGGAATAGCTAATATTTATAAGAAATGTTACAAAATGCATTTCGCAGAAGACAGACTCAGAAGAACAGTCTACCTTATACAGAGATCATTTACTATGAGACTAATATCTGAAGCTAAAATGTTGAAAGTTCTGCAATATCAGGCGCTAAAATGAGGATACCAATATGAAATCAAATGTTATTATTCGTCAGTTTTATTAATATTTTTGCCACTAGTTTAATCAATAAGTAATGTTTCTAATGCGATATATTATGAAATTTAGTTACAGAAATCCTTTCTCTATGTTTGAAGTACTACATCGCTTGTGTCAGACAGGCGTTTACAGGTGTAACTGTCTGGGGCCTTTTTACGTGGCCCTCGTTCGCTCCTCTTATCACGCAAGATGGAATCTTGGCAAACTCGGGTTATGCTTAACTGCTGAGTAATCATTTACACGCCTTCGTGTGCTTTGGTGTTCCTATAGAACAATGCTCTCTTTCAAGCGGATGATACGGTACTCCATCAGTCCTCTGTTTATTTTAAACAAAATTCTTATTTACAATATCAATATACAGAGATTAGAATTATTATTTAGAATATTTTTTTAGAAATCAAATATAAAAAATTATCTCATGCTAAGAATTATATCAGTACAGCAATACTCTTTATTTTAAATAACACATATTAAAATTTTGAGCTGCCAAATATAGAATATTATGCCATCGGCATTTTTACTTTTAACCTGTTTGAATTTTCTATACTTAAAAAATCACTTCTCATGCTAGAGCCAAACGAGTGTAAACCATTATGGGTTGCTAGTTTAGCAAAAGGGTTTGCTATTAAATGGATTACAAAATTTCCAATCGCTACTAATTGGTGTTTATATTATACACGTTTTTTTCCAGAAGTCAGGTATTCTTAAAACCGAGCATTCCCAGTCTCCACTATAAAAGAAACCTTTTATAAACAAAATGGTTTTGTACCTTTGATAAATTTAAATCTAGAAAAATTCTATTTGGATCAGATTACCAAATGCAGCAATTTTCTCAAACGAAAGATCGATCATTTGAAGAATTACATAAATATCATTATAATTGTGAAAGAGATTGCATTACTCGTTAGCATGCTTGTAAGACTTGCACTAAAGGCAATTAAGGGACTTTACTTTCAGTATGGTTGGTTCTCAGAAGAATCATTCATCACCTGCGTTATCGGATTTCTGTGAAAATATCAAGAACACTACTGATAGGAAATATTATTTACATCGATTAATAAAACACTTTTGGTGCGCATCCCTGACAGCACTTTGATTAATTGAATTAGATAGGTGAGAAATGGATGTGTTAACTGTTTCAACAACAACTTAAGAGTGGAAGTTAGACAGAGGAACCAATGAAATATTATTTATTCAGCCAATACCTCAAACGGATATTCTAGGAAATCTATCTTGGGACTGCTATTATATCTACCATGATAATGACATATGTCTTCTCCAGTCTGTGTAACAGTACGGCTGTGTTCAGGAACGAGGATAATTAATAAAATATTAAACATAATTTTAAGGAAAATATTTGAAAGAAGTAATTTTAAAAAATCGAATTGTGAAAAATGCGAATAATGAATATAAAATAAATATAAATAGTAAAATATGAAATACAGTTAATTAAAGTAATAAAAAATGCATCTGAAAACTTCAAACTGCTGTCTAACACCTCGAAGACTGAGTTAAAGGTTTTAAGATTATTACAGATTTCAAAAGGCTAAAAGAATTATTTTAGGAGTGAAGTTGCAGTGTTCCCGAAGTGTTATATTCACTTGGTGCCACTCCGTATGTGGATGCTTGTGTCGTGTCGCCATCTGTTAACACCAATGAGAAGTCAGCAGCATTTGGGTTTCTTACGCCCTTGAATATGATAAATGACCTTAGGATTCGATCCTGCGTCAATTACGTGGCAGTCTAATCCCGTGCCGTTATCGCAAAAGTAATAAAAAATTGCTGTATGTTCTGATGTTCGAAATGCTTTATAGTGCGTGCGTTTAATTGGCTCTCGAGAACCTTACAAAATCATAACATCAAAAGAAAAATGACGTTATTGTTTTGCAAATTAACTCATATGTGGCGATGTGGGCTTATTTAACAAAGAAAATGCTTACGTTAAAGGAAAGGTCTTGTTGATTAGAACTTTACCCAGTGGACGAGCTGTTCTGTCAATGGCGAAAAGAAAGCAAGATTTAAATATTCAAAACGTAAATGAACATTTGCTTCATTTGATCACTTGCGCACGAAGTTTGCAACAAGTAGTTCTATCAAGTGGAAATTACTTTCTATTCTGTTAGGACGCGAAATCCACGAATTCAAAACAATAAACTTCTCGAAGAAGTTTCTTCGAGTTGTTTAGCGAAAGTAAAAAAGGAGAAGCTTTTAAATATTTTTCAAGTTTCATTCTTAACAGTAAAAAGTGTTATTAATTAGTGCATTCTTGTAATCTGTAACGCACAAATATTAGAAGCAATGGAGACTGCAAGCTGAATGTAACTATTAAATTTCTGTTATCTCAAATGCTATACCTTTCCTAAGGAAAAGTCTTGGGGATATGTTCGGGCAGTATCACGTATAAAAACAAATATGAGCTTAAGAACATGACATTAAAGTCAAAATTTATATGAAATGGAGGATTCGGAATAGCGATATGTAGAAAAAATATTATACTTGTGTGCAAAATTAAAAGAATTTGCACATTATGTTATATTTCTACAGAACTACACAGGTTTTAATGAAATTGAGTATGAACATACCTCTAGCCATATATATGATATCGAACTGAAAATGAGCCTAATATGGGGTAGAGTCCCCTTTTACAGACACACAGGTCGCGCGCTGTGTGGACATGAGGCAGTTGAGGAGTCCTTGTAGTAGGCGATCCCACTCCTGCAGCGAGATAGTTTTGTCGGAGAGAGATGGTGAGATGAAATTGCGCTCCCAACAGAGCCCAGACAGGCTGTATAGAATTACGATCAGAAGATCTGGCTGTCAGTACATGTGGAAAATATCCTCCCTTTCCAGATAATTGGCGATAGACTGAGCACTATGAGGGCAAACACTGGTGTCCAAAAACAGTAACCCAGGATCAACTGCGCCTCTGAAAGTCAAACACATGTCTCTAAGTACTCCTCTGTATAGCCCATTGAAGTCAGGGAGCCTTTCTCAAACACATGCAGGGTGTGCAGCCGGGCAAGATAAGGCCTGCCCATACCATTACATCTCTACCACCGTAATAATCTTTTACCCTGATGAGTGAGGGATGAAATTATGTCCCAGGCTCTCCAGATACAGATACGCCGAGAATCAGTGTCCACTCTGAATCTCCACTCATCTGTAAAAAGACCGTTCTATACCGAAATGTAGTCCAAGGCGCATGTTGCCTGTATCACGCCTAACGCGCTGTCTTGTGCGCTGCAGCGAGCGGAGCGTAAACAGTGGATCTTCTGGCGTACAGTTCTATCTCACGAAGCCTTCGGGCAACTGTAGACTATGAAATTCGGGTTTCAGTGGCAACATACAGCTAACGTGAGAACTGTGAAGCTGTAGCAGTCCTATGTCGCCACGCTAAAAGGGCAAATAACGATCCTCATTCATTGTTCTGGATCCCGGCCGACCTTGTCCAAAGCTTCTCGATATAAATCCAGTGTCCTGAAACTGTTTCCACAAATTGAAAATGGCACTGGGGGTTACATTGTGCTCTGTAGTCACCTACTCCTGTGATTAGCCGGTCTCCAATTTACCGACAATTCGCCATCTCATTCCACCACTCGTTGATATACATATAAATCCATCATACGTTGATAGCTACGCAACTATTGCGAGAAACACTGTGAATGTCGTGAAGAACTGCCAGTAAACAAATGGCCCAAAACTCCTCGTAAGCTTTATATCCTCAACGATGACTGCTTCACAGGCACGCACGTGTGCGCTTACGTATTCGACTCTGATTATTTGGATAACTCTTCGACGACATAATTAGTATCTTTGGTTCAATAAGTAAAACAGACATTATTGGTCTTAATTAAAGTGGTCTTAATTTTGCACACGTGTGTATATGTATTCATAAGCACATTCTCAAACTTTTTAATTAAAATTGTTAATAAAACGTTTAATCTCAGTAACATATATAGAATGAAATGTTATTCGGACATTTATTAATCGGGCACACAAACAGTTGACTGATCCATTCGAATCTACGCATATGAAGATAAGGCTACAGACTATTGTGCATTTAGTCACAGGCCATTTATGCATCTTGAATTTCAGTTTTGTGTCCGATAAAAAGCATGAAAAACAATTCAAGAAAGGGTTTTAATAATTTTCAGAGATTTTAATAATGGCATCAAAAGCTTCATATTTTTTATATTTAATGAGCAGCAAGTTTATATTTGGAACACATGGAGAAAGAAAAATCAGTGTTTAAATAATTACAGTGCTCAATCGTTTAAGCAACAATAAGCATAAATCTTATATTCTGGAATTTAATGCCTCTAGGGATTTGAATGAAATTTAGCAATAATTAGAGTCTAGAACTAAAAAAATTTAAAAGAACAGTGAAAGACAAGCATGAAACGGTGGAGAATCATAAATGTATTGTATTCTATACATATTTTTGATTCTTGAGTTTGATCTTTGATCCTACCATAGCTCTTTGTAAATGCCGGCCGTAATTTTTAATATTAAATGCTGTTTAAACACCAACAAATAATCTAAGCTTATATCTGAGTGCCAACAACTTTATTTTGATAATCAATGGTTTCTATCGCAAGGTTTGTATTCTAAAAACATAAAATCACTCACCTCTGGAGGTTTGAAGTGGCCGGGATTTGCACCGGAATTGAAGTTCCTAAATCGCCTCATTCCAGCAGCACCTCTCCCTCTGCCTCTGAACGGTGGTACCCTGTACAAAAGACCACTCCTGCTAGTTGTAAAACATTGCTATCATTACTTAAACTAAGTGATTTATAATGATAAATATCTAAATATTTACTTTATCTAAATATGCTAAATAAATATATTAAATATGCAGATCAGAAAAAAAAGAAGCAAAATAAATAAATAAATAATCATTACTAATTAGAAATTAAAACGTAATAAAATGTAAAGAGATAAATAACAATTTATTAAACCATTAGTTTAATAATGCCTAGTTAAATAATAAAATAAAATACCGGAGCTCGTCATATTTGGAGCTATGGCTGGAATTGCAATTTAATTCAAAAACTAAGAAACGGCGGATTCCGGCGGAAGTCCTGAATTTACTATGATTTCAAAAGATGATAGTAAAAAATTTTTTCCAGCGAGCCATGAAAAAGACTAAAAGAGTAAGCGTCAATATTGAGAATAGGGAGAATGCTGAAAACATTCTCTGTATTCATGGAAGGAAGTTATGTATGGAAGGAAGTTATATTAGAGATACATATGTAGGCATAAAAACAAAAAGAAAAGAGTAAAACAATTTTTTACCGCTATCTACTCTCGCTATAATTACTACATCTATCAAGCAGAATGTGACAGGAGAAAAAACTGCTTCGAATTTTTGTTCTTATTTGGTTACATCTTTCCAAAAGGTCTGTATGTGCAAGGAAAGTCACTACCGTTGTACATGCACGACAAGCGTGATCATTTCTAGCACTTTCGGGAATGAAAAATTTACATAGGTTCATAAATTCATTGCACTTCCAGAAAAATAAGTCTTTGACATGTCGGTAGGTCGGTGGGGCTTTCCTTTCCTTACAAGTCTCAAACTATATCAAAATGCTTATTTTCCGAAGCGAGAGACAGACGTTCATTAAGAAGATAGAATCAAATTTTATGGTGTATTATTAAAATAAATGTTTGATATTAAAAGAATTTTTTACTAAATTTGCGGTTCAGTTACGTAAAAGAAATTCCAGTTCCGTTTCATGTACGGCTTCGGCTTTATCTTGAAAACAGGAGTCGAATCGAGCTCGGGGGGGCATCCGACGTAATTTAAGATTTTGCGAAAGATAAATGATCAACAACAAAGGTCTGTGTATTGCTTGGATGTCATCTTAGGGATTTAATAGGCTTAGTAAAATCAAAGATTTAAAATTAAAATCATGTTATATAATCTGGAAAGTTTTAAGAAAGAAATTAAAAATAATTAGAGAATAATAATTAATTAATTGAAGTTCATTATTATTAAGAAGTATTATTGATTATTTATTTTTATTGATAGAAAAGAATTAGGGCTCAAAGAGATATAATAAGCAAGTTTTGGAACAAAAATCGTAATCACTGAAAGTTAACGTTAAAAATTAATATTTAAAATATGTACGCTGCTTTCTGAAATTATAGAATAATTAAGGATAATTATTTAAATTTTACTGAACCTTTATTACAGGGCAAAACGACATGTAGAAATTATATATAAATATTTATAAGGACATAATTCTTTACGAAAATGCACACTTTGAGAATTTTTGCTAGAGAGACATAAAATTTTCTTTTCATATTACTAATTAGAACATTAATTAAAGCTTGTGGGATCAAAGGCCATTCTTCAGAGAAAGTAGATCTGAGTTCCTGAAGGTTTTCAGAAAAATAATGACGTTCCATAATTCGCCAGTCTAAGGCATATCGCATATTTTCGATAAACATATCAGGCGAATATTTGTTCGAGTCAAGGTCATTCGAACAACATATCTTTAGTCAACCAGAGAGAAATTTCATAGTTTCGGGTGGGATTGGGTCAACCTTTTACTTACCTATTAAAGATTTTGCATTAATCAATATTTTCTATACTTCTTCTATACTTAATTATACTTATTAATGCTTATTCTATACTTCTATACTTAACTCTATACTTCTATACTTAACTCTATACTTAATTACTCTTTTCTTCTTCTATACTTAATTATGTTCTGAGCTTTATATTAACACATAAAAAATAATCTAAATTTAAATAAATGTATGTGAATGTTTCGAATTCTGGAAAGGAGGGGAAGGGGAATGCCCATCTAGTAATGTTGAAAGGAGTGCATGGGGTAAAATGGTTCAGAACCTTTGCCTTAGTCTGAAAGTAGCAACTTGTCGAGTATTGTCATCCATGAAAAATTTTAACCAAAAGCATCCGCAAACAGCCTCACTTTTGAGATAGAAAGCCTCATCTACGTACTTCAGCTCCTTGTCTAGAACCTCTGTTATAGATTTGGAGTTTGATGTAGGCGTTTCTCATATTTCAGGTCAACCGCCACCACAGAAACAGCATTTTTCATGAATAATGAGGTTCCAGGATGCATGTCTCAGGGTTTCTGCAAATAAAGTTCTGCCCAGAACTCCTATTTGGATGGTATTTGTACTCATCTGTGAATAGTGATCAAGCCAGTCACCTTGGTGACATTTATGATAAAGACAACACAGACTTAAACGTTATCTTCTGGAAACACAAAAAGCGGGATACAGGGCAAGTATTTTCTCCCACGAAGACCATATTCATGAAGCTTTCATAGTAGATATGTTTGCTGAACATTCAGTTCAGTTATAGGATATTTCTCCCGCTACCTTAGAATGCCTTCGTGGTGTAGTGGTCAGCACGCTCGGCGCGTATTCGAGAAGTCCGAGGTTCGAATTCCGGGCATTGCTCACTTTTCGTCTCTCCTGCTTCCAAATAACCTAATGTCTCTATAGTGGCGCCTGAACTAAAAGGTGGTGAATGACGATTCTTCACCACCAGGATTTGGTGATTGGGTCCTCTAAACCCCAGTCTCCCTTTCAAAGAGCAAGAATATAAGGAATTTCTTAGCATGCCTTCGTAGTGTAGTGGCCAGCGCGCTCGACGCGTATTCCAAAGGTCCGTTGTTCGAGTTCCGGAGTGGGCACTGCTCATTTTTCAATCTCTCTGCTTTCCAAAATTCCTAATGTCTCTACACAGTGAACAATCCAATTGTGTCCAATCTGTCATAAGTCTAAATATTCAAAATGTTATTACCGACTATTCCTAATTTCTAGCTTTCATGTCAGAATTCTACTCCATGCTTAGTGAAAATAGTTATACACGGTAAAATTTTAAACAGTCTTTACCCAACAGTTTTATAATTATTGTTTAAAAATGATACTTTTATTTTGAACACAACTGAGTGCAGGAACATAGTTGCTAGATTTGGTGTCTGATGTAGGCGCTGCTAAATTTGGAGTTTTATGTAGGCGTACGTAAAATTTCTTTTATTATATATCATCACATTAAGCTTAATATTTGATTTATTGTTGGTGATATGCATATATGCATACTTTCACAGTTTCGTACTGATTAAGTACTTCATAATATGTCTAGAATACCTTAATGAAAGTTAATCCGGTTTGTAGCTTTCAAAACCGCAAGTGATGTTAACAGGAATATCCAAACGTTTCAAAATATTAAAATTGCCATACCTCAAACTTGTTAGTGCTTATTTCATTTTTTCGAGATTGAAATTTACTCCGAAATGAAAGTTGATATGCTGGGACATGAAAAGTTAAATTTTAGTCTGGTATTGATTAAAAAATATTACTGCTGAATGTTTACATGCTCTCAATGTAAAGATCAAGGCATTTAAAAAACTGAAGATGGAGATAATTCTCTCGGGAGCAAGTATCTACGCTGAAAGATTTTATGTTAGTGAGTGATTTCAATAAAATCGGGATAAAAGTTTTTCAAAAGCATATGCAACAGTATTATTTATTTTAAAATCGGTTCCTTGAAATAGTAAAGCAATTTCAGAAGTCCATAGAAAACAAGTTGGATACAGAAGAACACCGGATACAAAAAGAAAGAAACGTTTAAAACATTAAAGAAATAAAACTCACCTGGGACAATTCGTAAAAGGAATATGTGCGGTGTAAGAATCAAATCCTTGTGGTCCATAGAGAAAAGGACCCATGTTTGGAATAGGCTGGTGTGGCCTGGAGTGACATTTGGGCCTTGAAATTCTGTCGGGAGGCTTAGCCCACGTCACTTCGACTGTGCTTCCGTCAATTTCTACATCTAGAAAACAACACATAGTATGGATATTAACACCTTCGGGATTACAAAATATAAGAACAATACAATAATAAATAAATAAATAAATAAATTAAATGAATAAAGACTTTATTTTCTTATTTATCATAGTTTATTCTTCTAACCATTAGCCTACCTTAAAATATTCAAGTTCTGCATAGAAAACAATAGATATGCATTAATACAGATTGTTTAGAAAGTTCTTGCATAAATTTAAACGTTTAAAATTTTTGTGCACTAGATAGCGATGAAACTATAATCTAAGTTGAAAGTAAATTGTTTTAAAGTTACCATAATTTGGATTGTGACAGCTTTCGAATCGCACCATTGCGGACAAGAGCAGTATCTTGGCCTCATCATTCAGTTTCCCAGTTTCACCGGAATGTTTTGTGGAATCATGTAAAAACAGTTATCAACTGCATATTCTTTAGTGGAATTTAGCATTAGCATCACAAATTCAATCAACGGAATCACTGGATAATGATTGAGGAATTTCATTCACTGGATAATGATTGAGGAATGCAAACAATTTGCGAAACTGGATTGTATGATATGTCACGAAAAATAGTTATCTTATTGAATGTTAAAACGAAGATTTGTATTGCACTGAAACTTTAGAAACGGAGGTTTTTGTAAGTAGCTTACATTGCGTTTCTCTCATTATGACCCAAATTATAGTTTCACGAGCGTTTTAGAAACATTAATATATGAAAATCTTTTATCGCATGTTAGAAATAACAAATAACGAAAAACGGAATGAATTCAATAAAGAAAAAAAAAAAAAAAAAAAAAAAAGAAAAAGAAACAAACAACTACTTTTTATAATATGTGTTAAGGAATGGTGATAAAACTGAGTTGTCAGTTTGAGTGCTGCACTCAAGAAACAAAAATCCTAAAAAGGTATATATAAAAGTACATAGTCTTTGAGTATTAAATGTATTTACTGCATGATTAAAACATTTTTACGGAGAACGCTTGTGTTTTAAATAGTAAAATTACTAAATATATGTGTTTTGCCTTTAGAGACAGAGAGAGATGGATTTCTTCAAATTTGATCTTCCTTTTTTCTTGTTATCTAAATTTCACACTGTAGAATCATTACGTTATTTGGAGCAGAAGATATGAAAAATGAGCCTCGCCGGGACTCGAACCTGAACCTTTCGAATACGCGCCAAGTAGTCTAACCGTTACACCACGAAGACATACTGGAAGGAGCGAGAAAATAAGTTATTCGCTCTCTCCTTTCGGCATGCCTTCATGATGTAATGGTTAGTACACTCAGCGCGTATTTGAGATGTCCAAGTTCGAGTAGCGGCGGGGGCATTCAGTGGTGTAGCAAGCATAACTGGCGCCCGGGGCAAAATATCTTTTTGGTGCCCCCCCCACAAAAAAAAACTTTCAGTAATATAATGTATAGAATATATTCGTAATAAGAAAATAATGGAAATAATAATAAAATGCTGAATCTGCCACAAAATACTCAAAAATATATTAAGAATAGTCACTACCTAACTACACTAGCCTTGAATTCGGAAATGCATCTGTGTCGGCGAAAAAATCAGACACGATGATCTAGAATTAGTTAAAAACGTGTTATTTATTTTACATATTTATATAAGTGTTTTTAAAAAGTATAATTTTCAAACAATTAAAAGTTTAATATACATTATAGATATATAGATATGTGGCAACTTGCCTACTACAACTCAACTCTGCCAGTCTGGTAACCCATAGCAACCAAAAACAAAATAACATTTATTCTATTCAATTGTTATTATTATTTAACGATCTGTCTCAAATTGTTCTACCGTAATCGTTGACCTGTATTTATTACGAATAGCAACCTACAATGTTGCACGAATATGGAGTTTATATGTCAAAATTCTGAGCACCAGTAAGTTATCCAGTGCGATGACATGCAAGTAAGAACATTTCACCTGTGATTTCAAGCGTTGTGCAGCATTCCGGTGAGTCAACATATTTCTGTCATAATTTCAGCGGATATATGTATCGTCTGCTGCATTTGAGCCGCCAATTTCTCTGATTTCAAGTACCAAGAAACTATATAGTCCTATATGCACATTGATTATTTTTCTATACATATTGTTATTGTGCATATTCTGTACATATTTGATTGATCTAAAGTGGTTGACAACGATGCTGCTTCACAATTTGCGCGAGTGGCAATTAAGCCACCGCCTTTTGAGTCACATTACTGCCGACGAAACTTAATTTTATACAGCGATTGCCGCGTTAGAATGAGAGGTACTGCAATCAGCTCGTGAAATAATTTTGAATCCACCAGGCGGACAGACAAATACAAATCTTTTTTTAAAAAAAAAAAAAATTAATTTCTGTTTATGAAAGAATCCGAGACAGTTAAAATCAAGCAGCTGTTGCACGATTTACAGTTGGGTGATATGAGGCCTTCTCATTTGCTGTCTAAAATGTCTGACTTAGCCGCCGGTAACCTAACAGATAACATTCTTAAAACATTATGTATGAATAGACTCCCATCTAACATGCAAACCATTTTAGTGTCCAGTAGCGAGCCACTTAAAACTCTTTCTCCGAAATCCGCTGATAAAATTCACGAGCTGACCATTCCAGTGGCAAATACATGCAGTGCAGGCCTCCTGGTCCAGGTATTGTGGCGTTACAGGCTCAAATTGATGATCTTTGTCCAAACAGGTTGCTCAGTTAGTATCCATACAAGCTGAACCTTTTCAGCGCAACCGCTCCACATCACGTGTCGAAATACACGTCGTAGCCCACTGAGGAAACGTTATGAAAGCCCTCCTCCGGGTATTTGTTTTTACCACCACCAATTTTGGAAACAAGGCAAACAAACGCCGCCCACCGTGTCGTTATAACGACCAGGGAAACGAGAAGGGCCGTTGCTCGAAGTCGTGAACGACAGCGGACGGAATTTTGCACGCCGTTTCGTCATCGAAAATAATTCGGGCTTAAGGTTTCTTGTAGACACCGGGCTGATGTTTTTGTAGTTCCACCACTTTACACGAACAAAAGCGCCTTACCAAGTTACAACTTTATGTAACAAATGGAACTCCTATTCAAACTTTTGGAGAACGCCTGATATCTGTTGATTTAGGATTGCGCCGCAACTTCCAATGGCCATTCATTATTGCTATTGTTTCAATAGCAATAATAAATAGCGCTGACTATTATTGGCGCTGACTTTTTACAATAATTTTCTTTGGTTGTCGATCTTTAAGAATCGCCGCTTGATAGATTCCACAACCAACTTAACTTATCCGGGAGTAATACGCAATAGTCAAGATTTGAGCATTAAACTGATTTCGGGTAACTCCCCATGGCATCAACTTCTCAGAGAATTCCCTACAATCACGCGCCCAATTATGGATATTTCCGAACCAAAGCACGATGTACTACATTATATTGAAACTAACGGACCTCCAATTGACGCTAAAGCAAGACGCTTACCTCCGGACAAGCTTAAAGCCGCCAAAGAGGAATTTCAATACATGATGGAACAGGGAATTTGCCATCCTTCAGAAAGTTCATGGGCCGGTCCGTTCCATCTAGTTCGGAAACGAAATGGTAAGTGGCGATTATCGCCGGTTAAATGCTGCTACAATTCCTAATCGTTACCCAATCCCGCACATTCAAAACTGTATGCAGTTTTTAGAGGGAAAAGCTATTTTTACAACCCTTGATCTTGAGCGGGAGTATCCCAAGTGCCCGTTAACCCAGCTGATATTCCAAAAACTGCGGTTATTACACCTTTTGCACTATTTGAGTTTCCGGTCATGACTTTTGGCTTATGCAGTGTTGCTCAAACGTTCTAACGCTTCTTGAATCAGGTGTTAATCGGCCTCGACTTTTGTGTACCTTATTTTAATGGCGTCTTAATCGCCTCCTCTTCAGAGCAAGAACATCTATCACATTTGAGAACAGATTTTGAACGTTTTCAAAGGTACGGTGTCAGCCTTAATCCTTCCAAATACGTTTTTGGCCAACCAAGAGTATCTTTCTTGGTCATGAAATTTTCGCCGATGGCGTTCGACCCTTTCCAAAGTCACCGCTATCCGCGATATGCCAGAATCATCTACAGTGAAGGACTTAAGAAGATTTCTTGCTATGCTCAATTTTTATCGACGTTTCTTACCTCATGCAACAACCACACAAATTCGTTTTTGGTTGGAAGCAAGAAAAACGACCACAGAATCTCGCGAAGCTTTCCAAAAATGCAAAATTTATTTAATTTCGGCATCAAATTTGTAGTATCCTTCCGCATCTAAGCCATCATCACTCTACGTTTATAAGGTATTTCTCCCGCTTTCCTAGCGTGACATTCGTGGTGTAGTGTTTCTGTACGCTGGGCCAGTACTGCAGAGGTCCGCGGTTAGATTCTCGGCGAAGGTGGTTGCTAATTTTTCAATCTCTCTTGCTTCCAAAAAGTAACCTAATATCTCTACACGTTGACGCATCAACAACAGATATAGGAGCAGTTTTACAACAGAAAGATCAAGAATTATGGAGTTACCACTTTCATATTTTTCTAAAAACCTCTGACCAGCATAAAACCAGATACAGCACTTACGATCGAGAATTATTAGGAATTTATGAAGCTGTCAAATATTTTCGACATATGCTAGAGAGACGCGTTTTCATGATCTTCACGGATCACAAACCCTTAACCTATGATTTTCAACAGTGTTCAGACATAAGCCTTCTCCTTTCGTCAAATGAGACACCCGAGACTTCATAGGGCAAATTTTCAACAGATATCCATTATATTGAGGAATTCACAGAAATATTGTTGCAGACACCTTGTCTCGTGTTGAAGAACTAGCCGTTCCTTCGCCAATAAACTTTGCTGCCCTTGCAGATGAACAACACCAGGGATTCAGAGACTACTACAAACCCTCTTGAAAAGCAAATCTTCAACCACCAATCTCAACTTGCACTGCCTATGCAGCTGTCACCTGGAAAATCACTTTATTGTGATGTTCAGGATTCAAGATTTCTGATTTATGTTTCCCTCCGGGTTTCGCCATGCCATTTTTTAGACAGTTACATCGTCTATCACATCCTGGCATCCAAGGCTTTGAGGAAACAGATACAGCAACATTTCGTATGGCCTAGCATGCAAAAAGGACATAGCCAACCTAGGACACGTTCGTGCTTGAAGTGCCAAAGATCCTAAAATTGTCCAGACAACACCACCAGCCAACTTCAAAAATTTTAATTTGCCCTCATCTTGCTTCAATCACGTGCACCTCGACTTGGTCGGGCACTTATATTTATTAATAATAATGTAATACACGAATACAATTAATTATTATGCATACATTTTTCTTACCTTGGATGAAGCAAATTTATCATTTACTTCATCGAAGTCGATCCTTTCAAATTTTTCTCTTTGCACACCTAAAAATGCTAGATGACTTAGGTGATCTTGTCCCATCGTTGATTGTAAATATGTGAAAATTTATTTTAATTTGCTGAACAAACGTTCATAACTAGCATTTGATAATGAAATAGTAAGGAGTATTTGAAGTGCGACTCTTAGGTTTGGAAAAACATTTTCTCTATAGATCTGTAGTGGAGGTTTAGGTTCCGTGGCGTACCTAAAACGTACTGGAGTTTTAGGCTGTGACGTCGAAAACTATGTGAATTATGGAATCGAATTTTGAAAACTAAATATGTTTGAGAAATTCCGGACAAGGTCGTGTTATCGTTTTAAAATAAAAAGCGGGAGGTATGCATGCATTTTGTTTAAAAAAATAAAAATATATCTCTACTTTGGAGAAATAAAGTGGTCAGAAAGAACGTTTTGGTTGATGTACTGCAAACATTTTATTACACATTTTAACAGACAAATCAAGAAATAAAATAATTAATTATATTACAATAGTTATTAATTTTAAATATATTTTCCAGAAATCGATCAAAATAAAAACTGAAATTTTCAGGAAAATCTGGTTTGGAGACCATTTGGCGCCCCTCTACGAGCGGCGCCCAGGGCATCATGCACCCCCTTGCCCCCCTCGCTACGCCACTGGGGGCATTGCTCATTTTCCCGTTCTCCTACTTCAAAAATATCCTAATAATTCTGCAATATACTCCCCCCTTTTAAAGAACGACTGGGGATTAGGGGACTGAATCTCCAAATGCGGGTGGTGGCGAATGATTGTCCATAGTATTTTAGTTCGGGTGCCACTGTAGCGTAACTTAGAATTTTTCAATATTAGGAAACTGAAGAAATGAGTAATTCACTCGCCGGGACTCAAACCCTGGACCTCTCGAATACGCGCCGATCGTGCTAAACGTTACGCCACGAAGGCATGTTGGAAGGACGGAGAAAATACATTGTGATACTTTAATAAGGGAATTCTCAAAAGGTCATTCTAAATTACCTATTTAATTGTTGAAGGAAAACGGCGGTTTCGTCCGCGTGATGCACGTATCTAATATGAAGTAAAGAAGAAAGATAACAAAAGAAAAAGGATACTAAGCTTCGGAACAGTATCAGATTATTAGCTCAGACTAAAAACAGTGTTTACGAAAAGCATTTTCGGAAATTTTGAATGAAAAAGAAAACAAAATTACAAATACTAACCAGCATTACCTATTTAAAAGAAATCCATATTCCAATAAGAATAAGAAGTAATGTTAATATTACAGTATATAATAAGATAAGTTCATTTTTATTTCCCTATATCATAAATCCCGCTGCCTTCTTATTGTTGTCCACCGCTACTCCCAAGTCTTCAAATCATTTGACGCTGCTGGAACTCCTGCTTGTGTTGTCTGCTATAAGTTACCGCTATTATCACCACTATCATCATCTTCGTCACCGATCAGTATATCTTCTTAACGTGAAATGATCTTTAGAACCATTAAGAGCATTAGATAACCCCGTTTTCTTGAAGATCTTTACTATTATTAAGACACAATAACATGCCGAATAAATTCGAATTCAGAAGTCAAAGAACAAACTTGCTTATTCTTGTCCCACTTGCTCATTCTTGTCCATGCTTTCTTATCTTATCTAATCATTATTTCCTATCTTGTTCATTTGCGATTTTGCAGCTGAGGATGGTGGTTCGGTAAAACCATCGAACTAGTCCTGTGAAAATTTTGTAAATATAACGCTGATTTTTGTTGTTTGACTTCTGAATTAGATCTTTACTATTATTGTGCTATATCAGTTTGAGCCCGTGCATCTAAACTCCTCGAAAAAATCAATTAGTGAGAGGAAAACAAGTATTACGTCTATTAATGTATTTTAAAATTTAGTCTACCTCGCTTTCTGAAAGCCTTGAAAAAGCGCAAAATTATGTGAAAACTTTAAACAAATTCAGAACCTTGTCACAATATGCTGGAGCCGAAAATACGCAAGGCGGAAAATATGCAAATAAATATGACATCTATGACAGCCTCGCTGGTCATCATATTTAACAACCATTTCGCTTTTTCCTTGAGGGCTTATTTCGAAAATATTGTCTACTAAATGAAGATGAACGATTTTCAAAATGTAAATGCCTGAATTATTGAAAAATAGCGGAACATTTTTCACCGACTTACATCAACATTAAAAAAGTATTTTTTAATTTCTAGAGATTATTTTAGGCATATTTTTAAAAATGTCTCTCAAGAGTTCTGTATTTGAATCGGAGTAGTATTCCAAAACAAATATTTTCCTTTCATTAACACATGGTGAATAAATTCATAAATAAAGACCAATGCTATAAATTCTACATGATTTTGGAAACCATCGGAAGTTTCGTTTCCTCAGTGTGTAGAACAGAAATACGAATCAACAAATTCTTTACGTCATTATTTCCTTAACTGTTAATTTTCAATTAAGTTTACACAACCTAAAAATTTAGTTTCTTTCTTTTTTACTGTAAACGAACATTTCTTTGTGAGGTATTTGTACAAATTTCAATTCTCATTTTATTCAAACAACTCTCCCAAACATCACCTTAGAGAATAATTCTTCACATTATTTCTTCTACTTTACAAGCGGGATTACATTTCAGTGGTACCAGCTAAAAAATTAAAAGATCAGCAATCTTTTGGAACGCATACCAGAATATATGAGTGCTGCTACGAAAAATATTTTCATCCCTTTTTAGTTACTTTTACAAATATTTATTATTTTTGTTTCGTAATAAATTGAACTAAATATTTTGGGACATTTCATTGATAAATTTTGGGGGCATTCACCTTGCAGTTTCATTACCTCTCAGAGAAGGAAAGAGTTTTTTTTATTGCTCTGATTAATCTAAGTGCTGAATTCAGAGCAAAAACAAACTTGTACTAACTCATTCCTTACTGTTTAGTTTCTCGAGAGCGGTTTCAGCGTCTTCTCTTGTTCTAAAGTGGACGAAGGCAAAGTCTCTCAATTTTTTCACCTTGTCTACTTTCAATGTGTCGGTGATAGAGAAGATTTCTTTTAATTTCTCCTCCGTCGTGTTCATCATCAAATTCCTCACGTACAAAACTGTCACCTACACATGGAAAAAAAAGAAGAAAACAATTTAAGATACTTTAAATTCTTGATAATGCTTTGATAATTAATGCACGGCAAGAAATATCATATAATTCAAATAATAAGTTTCATTTCGGGGGGAAGCATCTAACTACATCTAACCATTAAAGAATTAGATAAGTAATGTTATTCAAAATCACTTGAATAGTAACACTTTTACGCATTATATGTATTTAATAAGCGCTAAAAGGAACTTCTATTAGAAGAAGGACACACATCAAAAAGCATACTGCCATGAAAAAGGCATACTGCTGTCAAAAAAGAGAAAGTTTAATTAGAATTTACATACTTCAAGATCAGAGAAAGCTTGTAAATTTTGGTTAGAATTAATAAACAATATTTTGTAAATATATTGCAATTTCTTTGGTTCCGCAATTCAGGTCGTTTATTTGTGGAACCATGTATAAGCAATGAGACACAAAATGATATTCGGATATACCAAAGCCATAGCAAAGCCATGTGGGTCTCTTAAAAATTAAAATGTGTAACTCTTCCGTTAGTCCTTTCTCCAAACATCAGCCGCATATTGCCAGCTTGTAGACGATTTCCGTATGTGCAAATACAACTAATACACGCTGTAATTAATGTAACTTTTACATTAGTTGAGGACTATCTCAGCTGAAAAAAATTTAATGTTTTTAATACAAAACTTATTTTAATGAAGTACTGCATGTTTTCTGCAACAGTAGAAGTATTATTGCTTTCGTTCAACGCATGGGTAATACAAGAGCCTGACACCACCTGATTCCTTCAGTGTCATTAAATAATAATCTAAATCTAAACAAATGTATATATATATTTTCCAGTTTGGGAAAGAGAGGTGATAATGATCCTCTAGTGATGGTAACAGAATAGGTTACCTCTAGTGATGGTAACAGAATAAAATAATATCGCGAAACTGCTTTCGCGATATTATTTTCTAAAAATAAAGATTCGCGGTAATTACCATTTTAAACCTAAGATGTTTCATTTATCTACCATATTATGAAAATATGTTCCTTATTCCTAAAACAAACAGAAACATTAAAAAACTAATTTTATGTGCTTTCCTCGTAGCATATTGCACTTGTAGCATTTTGCTACCAGTTTCTGCTAGCATAACATGAAATGTTGATTGGGAAAAAAATCTAACTGCAATGTTTTACGCTATCATCTGAATTAAAATAAAATATAGTGATAGTTATGAAATTTTATAGGAACATATATCTTTAAATTCTTCTTATTTTATTTAAGCACTTATTTTTTGGAAACAGTAACACATTTTTTAATATTTTGATATTTTCCAATTCATATCATTTTAGACTCGAAAACGAATCCTGAAACAAATGTCGGAAATTTCACGACTGAAATCCATTTTTTAATTAATTTTATTTAGTAATATAGAGTTTTTAATTAGAAATCGTAAATATCATTTTTAGTTTTTAGTCATAAAATCCCCTCCAAGCTGTGAATCCGTAATCGAAGAATTTTTGAATAAAGGTTTTGTAGTATCATTTATTACAGCACTGAAGAATAAAAGCAGTGCAGTTACATATATTCAACAATAAAGTATACCTTGTGTAAATGGAATTCTGTATTTCGGAAATCTTTTGTGAAACTTATAGATATGTATCGTATTTGCTTGGAAATCACAGCCCTTCGAATATAAGACCTTCTTCTTACGATTTAAAATAAATTTTAAGAAATAAAAATGAAATCAAATATTTGACCACAGCATCATTTTGATTAGAATCCATTTGCTTCTGATTAGATTTAAAAGCATACTGCGTTATTAAGTATAATGTTTCACAGTGGCAGCGAAAGAAAAATTAATGATAAATTTGTATGTATTTGTTTTCAGACATACCAGTAACAATACATAGGGTCACTAAATTATAGTGATGCTAAAACGTGAAAAGTGCGCAGTGCCTTCCCCGGTATTCGATCTCCGTGTCTCCCGAATATACGTCGAGCGTGCTTCCACTTACACCACGAATGTATGCAGAAAGGATTGAGAAAACACCTTTCACATATATTAGATACAGGCTTAAATCTCTCAACTAGACGTGACTGTAATAGTTATTGGCAGTTATGTACATACGGTAATTACATGTTTGGGTCATTTAATATTTAAACAGTGTAATATGTTTCTACATAGTACAAAAATTAAATTCCTTGCTTTCATACTGCTATGTCATGTATTAAAATATCCGACTTTAAGATTCTTACAAATTTTAGATCGAAAATTAAGCAAAAAAATGGAGTCTAATTTTCCAGTAAATACGGGAATCTGTTATTCAGTTTTATAAATACGATCATTAGTTATATAATAGTTATGTTACTGAAACATAATAATATCTAATTGATATACGTAATAAAATGTGCAATAGAACTGTAGAATAACACATCAAAAAGGAGAAGGAAAGGAGAAGAGGTTTATAAAATTTATTCTTTTCAAGTAATATTCTCTTTAATTCTCATATTTTATTTTAATCAGATTTTCTCAGAAATCTAACGGACTATGATGGCATAGCAAATTGATTTAATACTTAGATTGAAATCAAATTGCAGAATTTGCAACTTTCAAAAACATATCTTTATAAATTTGAGAAATGCTGACAAACGCTTCAAGATAAGACGTAGAGAAAACACATATGTTTCAAGACATTTAAATTTCTGCTCGAACGTACGACTGTGATTTAAACAATAATCAATAATGGCATTTAGAAACAGTCTGAATAAATAGACAACACTTTTGTGAAAAATGGCACTTCACTAAAATTATCCGCTTATACATTCTTTATAATTAAGGGCACTGAATATGACGGCTAAAATTATGTAGGAATGTTAATGGTTACTCAAACCATACCATAACCTCTTAATTATGGTACCTTAGAGAAAAAGAATATGTTTTCATTTAAAATAAGCTGATAATATGATTTCTTTAAAAAATATTCAGTATCAAAGTATGTTGTCAAATATTTGAGTAAAAATTGATTTTTAATGTTAGAAATATTTGTTATTAAAGAATAAAAAGAAAAATTATTATCGGTTGGAAAAGATATCAGAAGAAATAATCTTGGTAGTTTTTCTAACGTATTACTCAGAGTATGCCTTCTTGTATCGTATTTAAAGTTCTTTTCAAACTGAAACGTGCTAGTGCTTTTAGCCTTTGAAGATCAACCACTGATTAATTGGTGCTTGGATCTTCAGATATAATTGCGATAAGTTTCGGGACCTCCACTGTACGAGATTATTACAAATGATTCACCGGGCTGTATTTCGTAAAGTATTGAAAACAAAATGAATGAGGACTACACGAAATTAAGCAAATATCTTTCAGATTTTAGTCATAGCATTATAAACGCTTTGATGTTCTTTGTTTCACGACACGCGTCTAAAAGATACTGAAATTCTGTTTTTGTAATATTTCTCCGCTAATGGTCACCAATACAGCTGTAATACAGTCCTAGAACTACTTTAATTTTTCTGACGGTAGATGTACGTAAGCATTGGCCATTAATATACTTAAAACATTTCTGCGCGTAATGTCGAAAGACCTCGATAGCCATTCGAACAAGGCTGATACATTTTTCTTAGTTAATCAGTCCAACAGCAGAATTATTTGAAGAAACAACCTCAGTTACAAAATATCAGGATACCTCAAACTCGTCACATTTCCTAAAAAAACAGAGACCAATATATATTTGTCTATGAAATGTTGCTGATGACGTTAAGTTGAGGAAAATAATGCTTCTGTTCTACAGAAGTATGAAAATCTTCCATGCTTCATGCCAAAACTGTGGCGGTTCAGTACAAACCGTACAAACTAAATGTTGTTTCATTGCTAAATATTAGATGAGCGACAAAATTTTCTTTTTACAATGCTTCTCTTATAGATTTATAAAATTATAATAAATTTTATATAATCATTTTGTTCTAAATTCTGCATTATCTGTAAGCGTAATTAGAATCAAAATCTTCCAAACGATTAGCTATCGCGAAAGTATTCCAAATGGCTGGTCGCGGCCTACCAAGTTTGTGACTAGCGTGATTCGTTAATTTTAGTAGGCTAAACTCGAAATACTCTCTCCTTTACCGTTTTTTTTCAACAATTTTGGTTATTCTTAGCCCTTCCTTTTACATAGGCAACTAGTGTTATTGAATTGCTGATATCGTCGCATAAATGTTCAGTTAACTTCATGAAACTGTAACGACCACTACCTTCGAAACGCATATTGCACAGAAACAAAGGATAAACATTTCACTTATTCTAAAATGCAAAAGCCTTTCAATTGTAATATCACTATTTTTAAAATAGAACTCATTCTGCTATATGATGTGAAATCAAAAAACCTTTAAACAGTAATTTTAAAAGTTAAAACAATTTCTTTCTTTATGCGAATATACAGAATACATGCAACCCTGCTTAGAAGTTGTAGAATTTTAAAACTCGTAGAATCATCTTTATTATATGCGGCTTAAGTGTCTGTTTATCGCCGATAGTTTATTGGTTGCTTGCGTAACTGTACTATCCAATAGGGTGAAGTTGTCACGGCATTCAAGTAGTCCATATACACTGATACCATATATGCAGTTATTATTGTTTTAATTAAATTATCATGGCATTTAAGAACATTTAAATATTTTTAAAAAAATTATGCATTTCTCACGCTTCTACTAATTTTCGCCTTTAAGCGGTAGGGAAAATTGTCTATTTTCCTGCTGGATGGTTGTCCGACATCAATCGGCAACAGAAGTGAGACGACTTTGGCCATGTCTCGGGTTAAAGACTGACTCTGATATTCTGATGTTCATCACTCGTACTAGTTCACCCGGACCGAAAAATACCTCTTCAGTGCGAGCTAGTTTCTACTTCGCAGGAATCTTGTTTTTATACTTCAGTAAAACTAGTTGTTCTACCTTAAGGTAGGATTTTGGTTGATTCCGTCTTGAATTAACAAGGCAAATTGCTGAGGTATTC